CAGTCCACACAGACTCCAAGACACCCCTGAGACATGCGTTTTTCTGTCCTATTCTATTCTGTTTTCTTCTGGTACATTCAGTGAAGTGTCATCTCCAAAGACAACTGTTTAAATCAGCCATTAATTTTGGTTGCAACCCTTTTGCTGGTATCAGTTATGATCACGTTTTCTGGTTTCTTTCACTTTGTTGTCTTTAGAGAGATGGGTAAATCAATAAATCCATACATAGAAACATTGTTTTTTGGCCCAGATGAAGGCAACATAAAAGTCAGCCTTCATTACTTCTAGTTCTTTGATGTCGCCTTGGTGTGTATGGTATGGATGTGGCTGGCTGAAATGAGAGTGTCAAAATAAACTCAAGCATTGATGTTTAAGCTTTGCATCGATTACATTGGATCAGTTATTCTTTGATCAATGCATTGATCCAGATAAATTGACCACAACACCCCTGAAAGAGTGGGGCTAGCTGCTGTGCAGGATCTCTGCTGTCAGACATTTGAGGAGGACAAACACACACAGACACACTATTTTTATACATGTGTGATGAAAATATCACACATGCCATTACTTCCTGCACTTCTCTACAATTATGTGATGTGCACAGTGCAGGTCCAAGTGTGACTTGTAGCTGTGTGCCATATCAATAAAGTGGTACCATTGTGCTAGAACAGCAAGCAATATGGCTGTTGCACTGCTCTTCTCATTCAAGTGCCACATGATAAAAAGGCAGCTGGACCATTGCAGTATGGGAAATGAAGAAAGATGGATGTGAGTCAAAAGTGTGGATAAGGTCAGATTTCATTTGTGGTGTCTGAAGCCAGTAAGGTGCTCATGGGAAAAATAGAAAACCTTTCACATCTAAAGCCAATAACACTGTGAAAGGCATGTAGATAAAATGCAATTGTTTGCAGCTTTGTTTCTGAGTGAAATGCTGAACATGATTCCTGCAAATATGTACACCTCATGGAGACGTTTTTCATTTGTTCTTGTAAATAGTTGGTGGTGTTCCATGAAGACCTTTCTGGTGCCCAGAAACTACAGCAAGCAGGGTTTGTTTGAAATAAACAAAGGAAGATCTGGCTGTTGAACACTATGGTACGATGGAACAGAAAGAGAAAAGTTCACATAAAACTCAAAAGAAAGTCCAAAAGAAAAGCTTTTTCTACGTCAGCCATAGAGTTTAATTGCCAGGTGACCTCTGGGAGGAGCAGAAATGCCACAGAATTCATGATTTCTTGTTACTGTAGATGTCAAAAATGAAATAAAATTTAAAATTAGAGGGGTCTGGTGGATTACACTCTAATCAAAACTGGAATTGGAATCAGAATGACTTTATTTACTTTGGTTAGAATCTGGCAGTTGTAGAAATTACATGATTACTTGGCTAGGGTAAGAGAATAAAATGAATGTTAAAATATTCTAAAAATTAAAATTACATTTAGACTTTAAATCAGCACAGAATGGTGCATATGTTGTCTAAATTGATATTAGCCGTAGACTCCAGGTCAGGACTCCAGACTCCTGACTCTGACCTATGGTGGTGGCCCCTCTGCCTCTGGCTTGCTGTCCTAAGCGACTTTCAGACTGACACATGTTCTAAATCCACACTGCAGTCAGTCCAAGTAGGTCAGTGTGTGTCTTCAGACGCTCCTCCTGACCTGGGTCAAATGCATGTCAGACAGTACTCTGCTGTGGTCAACAGGGAGGGAATTTGATTCACTGTTACAGAAGCCCCTTACACACTGCCTTTTCAAAGTGGGATTAGTGCACCAAAGCCGGAATGGTGGGCCATTTTCATGGTGCCTCTGGTCCACCTCTGGTCCACCTTGGGAGGTAGTACCAGAGGTGAAACGAAAGAGAGATGTGTAGAAAGAGTTAGCAGGCGGTCTGGAACCAAGTGCTACGTTTTGTTGATATCATATGTGCGCAATACTGTCACCGTAATGTGAGTGGGTTGTTTAGCAGGGAAATATAAGGAACTGTAGTCACGTCTCTGTGAATTTGGACAAGACAATAACCTATAACAGCAGTGTCACATGAATGAGGTCAAACACCCAGTGAACACACTTTCACTTGACCTGCCCCACAAGGGCATCTCTTATATGGAAGGAGTATTCCCTTCCACTGCCTGCCTACTCTTGTATCTCAGACTCACACAAACACACACACACACACCACCACTCTACCCCTCCTCTTTTCCCACCATCTCTGTCTTGTTTGTTGGTGCCTGGCCTGGCTAGCCTGGCTGAACTCTCTGGGGGCGTCCACACTACATCTCTGTTGTCTGAGCTGTCAGCTCACATGGCTCCACACACATACAAACATTCTTACACACACACTTTTTACAGTTCTCTGTGTGTGTTTGTACTTGGAACCTCATAGCCAGGAACACCAAAGCACAAAGTGCTGCTTGTGTGCGACAATAGCACAGAAGCTCTTTACTGTACTTCACAACAAACCTGGTTAATAAGATAACACACAGAAACCTCTTTATGGCTGTAAGGCCCAGATTCATGAGTATTTTATGTTTGAAGGAGTACGCTTTGGCGTAAGTCAAGCCAGACATTTTAATCTGGTCATTTCTAAAGGTGGCAGTACTCGACTGTACAGTGACACAGTGGCTCACGTCAAGCACAAAATGGCCGTCCTCAGGTTGGTTCCTGCTGGGCTGCTCTCACACATGCAAATGAGCCTCAGCTAATAATGAGATCTTTAGGAGCTCGATAATTAGATTTTTCCCTTCTCTCTGAGGGAAAACGACAGAGGCAGACTGGGAGAGTGGGAAGACTTCTTTACGTGTCTTGACTTACTGGAGAAGCCTTGGTCTGCACTGAC